ACCTTTTGGGAAACAATACCTTTAGATAATTGTAAATTTAATTATTATGATGTATTATATCAAGAAATCGCTAATCAAATGATCAGTATCATCGACGAAAGACCACAAATTGTATACTCATTATCAACTCAAGATACATTCGCGTTAACTAAAATTAAATATAATTTTTTTAAAACATAAAACTTAAATGGTATCCTTCTTTATACTTTGATGTTAACTAACTTTACTTCAGTGATATGTATATTACTATTACCTCTATAAATGACTTGATATCAGTAAATGGCGTCAAGTTAAATAAAAATTATTAACGTAAATAAATAGAGATAATTTTACTGTAAAACTTTTGTATACAACATTTTTTGATATCTTAAATAGTTTTCAAGATATAACAAAAAAAATTAAATATTGTTTAACTTTAAAGGGTAATTTCAAAATTTTTATTGCGTTTTTTCATCGCAACTGATATTTTGTAAATTCATCTGTTCACAAAACTTATGTGCACAAAATTTTATTAAAATCATAACTTGACACTTTTGTTACAAAACTAGTTGTATATTTACCCATATTGGTCGAAAAATGTTTTTTTTTTCACAAAACATAATCATTTCCACATCACTTTGCGGTAGATAGCATGATGCGTTTTGTTTATATAGTGGTTTCTCTAATAGACCTAATCCATTCTCATTTTTTAATACACTAGTATTAAAACATTCTCAACTATTTAAATAAAATTTCAAACGGCATCATGTTGATAAAATATTACAAAAAATATGCAAAATTTGAAGATGAACAGAGATCATTGTTGATCAATACTTGTGCGCATATTTTTGAAGAAAAAAATATTAATATGTCGATAGCAGCAAGTTACAGACCCGAAAAAGAAATATTAAAAAGATTTTCTACTGAAAAATTAGTAAGTTTGTTTAAAATTTAGGATACGAAGATGATATTTACGACGAAATGATATGATATATAATTCCAGTTAGGCATTTGTTTTTAATATTTTACTTTTATAAGAATATTATCGAATATGACGCGGAAAATTATACAATAAATTTTCCAATTTAAAATCTTCTTTGAAAGCAGCAGTTGGAAAATATATTTTGCCAAAAAAAGAAAAAAATTCAAAATTAACTCATTTAAAAAAATTTAATAAGTGTTATTTTAGTAAGTGTTATTTTTTAAAAAATAATAAGTAATATATTATAATATACATATACTATACTCATTTAAAATTAGAGCTCCCGGTTCAAAACGTGTTTTAAAATACACGGGTATACATGTGACACGTGTAGTCGTGTCCTTTATGTTCTTTTACTTATTCTTTTTATGTAATCGAGACTCTTTCTTTTTTTTATTTGTCAAAACGTTTTGTTCACTTTACCTTTTAATGATTTAACAATGAATAAATAGTTATTTTAGTTACACTAATTTCACGAGTAATTTCTCACGCTACCCTTTCCGCACTTTCTCTCCCGAGCCTGCCCGCGATCCCTGCGTCTACAGTAGTCCGGCGAGCTATCCGTGCATCGAGGGCAGGTCGTTTCACGTCTGCGGATAGGCTTTGTCTCGAATGGCGTGTGCTCAGTTTTCAAACGAGGTATAAATTGCCGGCCTAAAGATACGATCCTTGAAGCGAATCGGAAAGACCTAGTTTTACTCTTAACTAATACTTAAATAGGGCGAAAAAAAGGGTAAAATGTAGGTAGGGAGGTTGAAGAAAAATATTTATGCTGATCATTGCTAAGATTAAACAGGAATTTTTAACATTAAAGAGGAATTTCCATTCCCTAGTTTACAAAAATTGAGTTTTAGCGAATTTTCAAGGATTACTATACGTTTACTGTTTTCAAATCTGCGGTTTTAATTTTGGGTTCTGTAAAGAATTAATTTTAATTGCTTCTGATTCAAATTAATTTGCATTTATTAATGTTTATCAGCAATTGAATAAACATAAATACATATTAATAAGTTAACATTATCCAATATTAATTATTAATATTGCTGCCTATAGAAGTGTTCTAATATTAAGATAGACATTGATATAAACAACATTAATTTATTGATTTTATAAATTTCTCTTTTTTTCATTCTTTCTCTTTCTCCTGCTCTCTTATTTGCACGTTTATTCGATATAAACGACATTGAAAATGTAAAAAAGGG